TGATTCCTTGAACAACTGTGTTGTGAGTTGTACCTTTTTGAATTATATCCTCTATCCCCTCCTCTGTTCGTAAAGGATATAACTTTTCTGTTGCATAGATTCGTCTTCTTTCTCTGTATTCTCCTGAATGAAGACAAATAGGGCAACCACAGTTGCCATTAAACTGATTCTGGTTTAGAACCTTAGAATTAGCCACAAGATCAAACACTCCAAACAGTAACTTAGCACGAACTGTTTAACACCATCTGGGCTAGAGAAACTGAAACCAAGCATATTTAATTCATCTATTAATTGGGCCCATTAAAATGTCCATTTCTGGTTTTGATTGTCCAACCCATAGTCCACAAATATTGGTGTTATCAATGCGAAACGTTATAGTTGGTGGGAAATTAGCAACATCTAAATAAATTGGCCAAACAGAAATTTTGGATAATCGGAATATAGAAATTCTATCAGTGTTTAAAATAACGCCAACGTTCTCTGGGTAGCAAAAGTATTCCTTGTCATAATTTTTTAAAGTAACCGCAGATATGTTTGCATCAGCAATATGTCTTGATGTAATTTATATCATTCCATTGTCCTAAATAAAAAGTGGCACATTTACATCTCAAAGTATTTTTGTCTGTTATGCATCATGATGACTATCATGAGAGCTAGGGAAACATAAACAAGGGCAAATACTTAATCCTGGCAATCTACATGCATGCACTTTAAAGGACGCTTTATTGCTATTATTATTATAGTTCAAATTTACTTAACGTGACAAAATGGTTTTGAATTGCTTTGTAGGTCAAGTTTAATGACCGTATTATTTTCTAAACATTTACTGTCATCGTTGCAGCAAGAATCACTATGGTTACACTCCTTTTTTCACTGTGAGAAGTATTTTCTAACTGTAGTACAATGACATGATTAAAACATTTTCCGAAGCATATAAACACTTTTTAGTAGCTTGCTGTCAGTAGGACAGAGTAACTTGAGTAAAATGAGAAGTTGATTTATTGTGCTAAATGGTAAATGGCATTCCCTTTTAAAACTCATTATCATAAGAATAGCACCACATATAGAGATTTTGGAGTCATAATATAATGGTAAAAGCAGGTCATCATCCATGTGATATGGTGAATGATCTAAATCTTCAACTATGCTTTCTGTATCAATGTCTTGTGCCATTGCTGCTTCCATTCGTTCAGCTTCAATGTTATTACTGTCATAATCATAATTGGTCTCAAATTCTGAGTCTGCAGGAGTGATTGAACTGTTGCATTCAGCATCCAAGTCCACAAATACAGAAGTAGTAGTTGGTACATTATTTAATAATTACCTACTGCTGCATTCATCATGGGGGAGTAGTCTCTGCAGTGGCAGGAGGACTATCTTCAAGTTGTGAGATTTCCTTATATAAGATCTAGTCAATTTGGTTTTTGATACTTGCTATGCTTAATAATACCGTATAGCTACAAAGTTTCGAGGCAATGAACTTTCGTGAATCAGGCCACAAGTCTTTTTTCGCGAATTAACTTTCGCGGTTCTTGATGAAAAGCACACGTGTTTATTGGCAACACGGATATTTCACGGAATTAACTTTTGCGAATACGGAAAATCCGCGAAAACAGCGAAAGTTGTACCCTGAAAATTAAGCGGCTATACAGTATCAGGTACCTTTTTCTGTTAATTCTTCATGTTGTTGTTCTCAGGATTGACTCTGATGTGTCCAGGGGCGTATCTAAGGGTGGGCCTATGTGGGCATGTGCCCGACCAACTCAGCAGAAGAAAAAAATTCTTTTGTATATTAGTCCTTTTAAAAGTATTACTCACTTTATTATGATGAAAGCAATGAGACAAGACTAGCATAGCTAATAGTTTTAGTAGTGTAAATATATGATAGCATGGTAGAGACTTCCATAATTTCACTTGGGCATTTGGGCTGCCATTTTAAAAATAATAACTACTATTAATCAATCTATTATTAGACAATTCACTTTAATATTAAATTAATTGAGTGAAAAATGGCTAAAAAAACTGTGCTGAGTCTTTTCAATGTCTCCCAAAGGCCAGTACTACTTCAAAAGAAAATGTAAGCATTTAGGGGGTACCGAGGGTGCTTGAGCACCCCCATTAGCCTGAAGGATCAACATTTTTTTCGTCTGCTTCTTGAAGCTCTTGTGTCTCATGTCACTGCTAATCATCTTAAAAAAGTTATTTAACACACTCAACAATCATTTCAGCCTCAATTTCAGCATTTTCCAGTGCTTTAAAGGGCAGTTGGAAGAGCCAGAGTTCCTAAAATTACCGTGACCGCGCATATGATCATGTAAAAAGCTATAATCTATGGAAAAGCTAAGCATGTGCGGAAAACAATATTTTAGCGCAGTAAAAAGGGGGTGTGGTCAAAATTGCAGCACGTTTTGTGGGCCAAATACTTTCCCTCAATCCCCACCCAACTCTCACAGCTTAAATACGCCCCTGGATGTATCATAAAGGTAAATTCTGTAAGGACCACTGCTAGTAGCCAAGATTTTAATCAGGACTGAATTGGGGTGTAACTTAGCCTGTCACCTGTTACGTGGCCATAAGAGCGTGAACTTAGGCGGCAAGAGCATTATAGCTGTAGCTGAGGAAACTGAGCCAAATAGTATGAGTCAAATCTAGAAAACCAGTGTGGCCAGCAACACTATGTATGATAACGAAGAATATTATGACTCAGATGAAACTGTTGGATTTAGTGAAAGTTTTGATCTTGAACACTCACCAGGAATATTAAATCCACCTTGTCCACAGCAACAGAGCAAGAAAAGACCAACAAGGAATAGAAGACTTCCCCTTCATATAATTGTGGAATCAATTATTCCACCAGTCAAAAAGGCTATTAAATGTATATTGGTAGCTTAAAGTGATTATACATGCATCTGCATCTGCTCTAAAATTTTTAAGGGCACAGAGTCAATGTCGGAGTTTGGATTTAAAATATTGCAATTTAATAGATCTTAGTGTATCTTATTTATTCTTGATTATTAGTTTTACCTATGATTACCCTATCCATTTCAATAGGTCATCAAGTAAAATGCTGTCAAGACTTCAAAAGTCTTCTTCTACTTCATATGCAATAAATTTGCAACTCTGTTAATTTTTTGGGCTTTATAAATTAATTTTTTTTAAATGCACAGACAACTTTAGTGCTCAATGATAATAATGATTTATAATTTGGAATTTAATTGATGTTTAGTTTACAATGTGAAATGTTTAGATGAAATTTTGTTTGTATCAAAAACTACTCTGTGTTTCTTTTGGCAAGATAATCAGTTGCCAAATAAATAATAATTGTCATTAATTCCAAATAGTAAGGTGTTTTAAGGCCTAAAGCTACTATTTTCATTTGCAGCCATCTTACTGCAGCAAACAAATCAGCTACTTCATGAATAAACACAGTATTCATTGTCTGACGACAATTTTTGCATCACAGTCACAAAGTGAATTGCTAATTAAACAATTTAAAGTAAAATGCCACGAAGGAAACAAAGTAAAAGATTTGAAGCTCTTCACAATGCTAGGTGGACTGCCAGGATTGGATCTTCAATAGCCGCGACATCTATTTCCACAACAGGATCTATTATCGCCGAAGATAATAATAGAAATGAGGTAGGCAGCCTGGCTCCGCCGCACTTTCAATCGATATGATATCCTAAAATCTAAATAGATATGATATAGGCCTGAAGTGGGTGTCAAAGGATGTGATATAGACATGAAGTCGGTGATGTTTGAACCATATAGGATGTGATTTATCTCGAGGGCTATACACCTTTCCCACCAATGTAGCGTTTAGCAATGAATATCATTAACGAGCTGCCATTTTGTGGGATAGATGTACAGTGATGGATGGGCTAAAAGTACTATTTCTTTATTTTCTCTAAAAGAACTGCAATAGCAAAAACCAAATTGCAGTATGATAACTAAAATTATACAACAAATGTGCTACGAGCATTTCTGTGTGAACTAGAGCTTGCATTTAAAAGGAAAATGGGAAAAGTCACTTTGTGCCCATTCATCTCTGTACATCTATCCCACAACATGGTGGCTCGTTAATGATATTCATTGCTAGATGCTGCATTGGTGGGAAAGGTCTATATTAAGGACCCCACCATTTTTTGACTAATTAAATTTAATTAGCAATTATATATAGCATTTACACCAGGCTATATGCCCATGCAACTATACATGCCATGCAGTCTTATTGTTCTTCATCTGTATTTTAGGAAGTTGATGTGACAGCTACACCAAAAAGGGAGAATCAAAGCAATTCAGATAGATCAATAGAGGTTACTCCAATTAATTTTCAAAAAAATGATCCTGATTTGAGCTTGGATACTCCTGAAGGATGCAACTCTGCTGAATTACCTAATAGTAATTCAATCTTCTTAGGTCAAGTGAGCCAAATGTGTAAATTTATTGATCAGATTAATTTAACTTCGAAATGTGTGACACCATTATGTAATGGTATGTTAAAACATGTTTGTCTTAGTATGATTGGTCAACAAGGTTGTGTTACTTTACCATATGATTGTACTGGTTGTGCTGAGAGACGTGTTGCTTTTGAGAGCTCAATCAAGCATGAGACTGAAAACTGTACAGCAGTTGGTCTTGCCCTGCAAGTCGCATTTATATGTTCAGGTGTAATGTATTCTCAATATGCTAAAGTACTTAAAAATGCTCTTGGCATGTACTGCGCAGGGTTCATTGACAAAACCATTCCTGCTTCTTTTGCTTTCATCTTCCTCTTCTAGCTATTTCAGCCCATTTTTTGTATCTCTTTTTCAATAGTAAACAGAGAAATATTAGGCAAGTTTTGTAGCCTGCATGCAAAGCTGTAGTAGCCAACCATTGCCGCCAATGGCTGTAATAGCTTATTCCCACAATGGGGCATAGCACTTGTCAATGTGATGGCACAATGACTCACATCCTCAATTAAGTCATAAATTATTATGTAAAAACCAAGAATGAACCTTTACTATAATATATCATAACTGGTAGGAGATGAAATTATTATAGAGCATATGCACTTTGTAAAAAGTACATGATATGGGTTGAGAGTTTCACCAAGCCTCCTGTTGACAAGATATCAATCTGTTCACTGGCTATTTTTAGCTTTAAATCATATCCAAGGCCTTTATGTTGGTAGAGATGGTAATTTGTTATCACGTCATTCAATGGATGTAGCATAGCAGAACATAGCAAACCCTAACATGAAAAAATAAGTATTTAGTTGACCAAAAAATTTCCCCCTCACAAATTGCCCACCCTACAGTAATCAGAAAATTTAAATTCCCTTCATATCTACCTCTTTTTTTACATAATAACACATTGTCAATTTTTGCCAACAAGACATACATGTAGGATATAAAACATAGGGTGCCATAAGATGCTTGTAATGGCATGAATATTACTAGTATGCATAAAAGCAACAAGATAAAGACATCAGTGCACGAAAAAATTAACAGTCATTCACCTTGTACCCTTCTACATATAGTCCCAATAGTGGCGTTCTTACGGGAAAGGTATACAATAGAGTTGTAGTCAGATAGAACAGGAGTTGCCCAATGAATGACTTCTGTACATCAAAATTACCTTGAATTCTAAGACAAGATTTAGCCTAAAAATGGGAAGACCACTTGTATGAAAAGAAAAATGAAGTTACAAATATTATTAATCAAGGTACACTGTATAGCAGAAAATTTTCATTGCCATAAATATTATTTCCTATCCGATCAGGTCTTACAAAAAAGATTAATTTTGTTGATTAATAACCTTAATTATTAATTATTAACCAGTCACGCCCACTTTATCTAAAACTTTCTGTCACATTTTACTTGGCCAAAAAATAAATGAAAATTAGCACTCCCCAAAAATTTCCTGCTATACAATATACCTCAGCAGTAAACACTACGACACTACAACTATGGTCAATCTTGCAACACACAATCTGGATAGCCCTAATATTAAAGCTAAAAAACCATTTCAAATAAATTTAAATTTAAAATTACTTTCAGTAACTTTGTATCAATTATAAATTGATGAAGTTCTCCGCCATGAATGGTCTGCCACATATCAACTTGGACATTCGTAGTGCAGTGTGATTTAGAAGATATCGGCACATATCTAGTAAAAATAGATATAAGAAATTACAAATTACATACAGTTTCGAGGAATGAAGAATGTCTTGCACAGACAGAGTTTTGTAATACAGAATTCACAACATGGAGCAAGTATGCCTTAACTGTCGCATCACTGAAACATCTGATGTAGGCTCTTACTGCTTTGGCAGCTATCTCTCGAGCATCTGAAGAATACAAATTAAACAAGCAAACAAGCATATTTGTGTAAAAATATTCCTATAATTGTTGTCACATAGGTTTTTATTATGACTTAGACATTCTCTCTACCATCTAATGCTTCTAGATAATTCAATTAAGAGTATCTTCATTTTTTCTTACTTTTAGAAAGCTCAAAACATTGTTTTATGCATAAACTGTCATTTTTGTTGCATGGGTGTGTGCTATTGTTACTTCTCCATGTACATAAGAAATGTAAGTGACACACTATTATCAACAGCTCAACAGTGAAAACAAAAACCTGAGAGCTTTGCAACAAAATGGTTTTGTTAGCAAAACTAACAAATTGATGTAAATGCTAAAACTTTATATGAAGCAATTTCATTATAAGGCAAAACGTTCCTATTAACTATCATAATAGACCAATAGATAGCCAAGCTCTACCAGATAACTTACCATTGCAGCACTATAGGTTATAGAGCTAGACTTTACTGCCACCAAATCAATCATGTCAAATATCCCTCTCATTCCTTCCCCTCTGTGACAGTTGATGCTGTTATTACTGTGTGACGCTGCCAGATCATCAAGAGAACACAGTAGTATCATTGGTTTAATTACAGCACTTATTTCCTCATTAGATTTAATAACGAAGAGTGAAGGGTCTATCCAGTCTTTAAAAGTGCAGTAACTTTTCATTGCTGATGCTTCAATGACTGAAACCGTACTTTCCACACTCGATACTAAAGGCGTAGGAGCTAATAAAGACATGTAAAATAAACGGTTACTTACAATCAAAAATACCATCATCACTACTGGAGTATTTTGTTTTTTTTGAAGCTGGCTCGCAGCTTTCCATGACCCTTTATACTTGACTTTCCAATACCTGAACATTAATCACAAGATTTTATTATTGAATTATTTCACTTTTCATCTGATGATGACACATATTCAGACTCTTTATTTGAGTGAGATACTTATGAAGACTTTTCAGGAGAACCGCCTGATGAACTTTCAGAACTCATCTAAATAACTTAAACTATATAATTTCTCCTTCCTCAATAAACATATAGTGGGATAATATTATAGTCTCCAGGAAAATTTGGAAAAGTAGTTTAATCACTGAAAGTGCGTGGTAGGAAACAATGTTAAAAAGCATCATTGAAATTTTAGTACGGACTAATGAACATATTGCTGCTTAAAATGATAACATTAGATCATGAAGTACATGCACCATATTTCCTCAAATAAAAGCCTGGCCTCTATTTTTTAAATTAGATTTTTTATCTGAAAGAAAAAATGTATATGCTGAGATTTGAACCTGTAACCTACTGCCAAGAATAATTCTAAAAAGGAAGTATCTATAAGGCACAGGTAACTTTAGAGATGTAGATTTGCATCTTTATACTACAATTTTATTGTTATCCCAGTGTTTATTTACATTCAGCTTTTATTTGAGGATATAGGGTACATCTGTAAGCAGGAGCATAGTAATCTCGCTGGCCAGACTCTAATTTACCAAATAAGAGTCTGGTGCCATGCCTAATATCAACTCATGTTTTCAATGTTTTGATTTGCGTGGGCAAAAAATGTTAATCTCTATGAACACACCCACGCACCACAATATTGTGGATTTATTATTTTTTTACTGATTTTATACTTGCTTGTATACTTATTTTATACTTCATACTTGCCATCAAGAAAAATAAAGCAGTCAAGTACTTCTCATTTTTGGTTTTTTCCGGCAGTACTGAAGTTGGAGCAATCATGGCGGCTGAATTCATTTCGGATCCAAGCACATCTCGAAGCATTTCTTTACTTGCCTCATTGTCTAACCATCAGAGCAGATAAAGGCAATCCAGTCGGCAGTTGTCATAGAAAGAAAGTATAATACCTCAGTTAGTTCCATTCTTGATCATAATAGACTTGCCGTGCATGGGCGGATTCTAATGTAACCATAATAACAGTAATTATGTCGACCAAATTCCGCCAGACAAGCACGAGTTGATGTTAGGCCTGAAACCAGACTCTATTCTAAAAATTGAGTCTGGCTCCGCGAGACTAGGTGCATAGCTGGACCATGGGTAATGGTAGAGGAAGTAAAAAAAACGGTGCACGAAACACACCTCTTTTACATAGCAAAATGGAGACAATTTCCTGCAAGCTGAGTGAAATATCATGGTATGGCTATAGTGGTTATCAGCCACCCCCTTTTGTTATTGTAAGAACAATGAATATAATCTTTAGGGTTATAATTGCAATCAATATAATTACTCAAACTAGGGCCCAGGCCCCCTCAACCTCAGCTACAGTAAGTACAGCTTGACAAAGATGTCAATATCATGTATCAGAAAATGTAATAAAATTGGGAGAGGGAGTGATTCAGATCCAGTTTTTGGAAATATCAAATGCTATATAGTCTTCGCACTTTTTCATAAACATGTTTCTTTTTAAAACACTTGTAACTTTAATAGTATAATGTTCGTCATGCAACAAAAAAGCAAATGCTTCTAAATAGCTACGTCATTTATTAATTCCAAAAAAAATCAAGTAACAAAAATAACTTACAGTGGGATGATCACAGTGGAAAACTTCAAAATACAGTGGGATGATCACAGTGGAAAACTTCAAAATACAGTGGTGCCACAGTAACAAGACAACAAGAGTGAATCTAAACATCAGAAAACTGAAGTAACCAATATGGATAAGGATAACTCACAGTGAGAGACAGCTCATGAGACTGAGTAACTGAGCCTAAGTAATAACTGTGGTGTGCTGACCCGGCGGTCACTGGCTCTTGTAGCTAGCAAAAGCGAAGCTAAACATAAAAAACAGAAGTAGCAAGGTATATGGATCAAGATAACTCACTGTGGCAAATAACTAGAGAGTCTGAGAGCCAAAGCCTTCCTCGAGGAGTCTGAACTAGTGTGAGGCGACTACCAAATCAAAAAGAGACTGGTGCAATAAGACACCAGAAGCGACTACAAGAGAGAATTTAACGACCAGAAAGTGAGAAAGCTAAGTAACTAGCAGTTGGATAGTGATAACTCACAGTCAAAGGAAACCAGCCAAGGTGAGAAGAGAAACGATTAGCACCTGACAGTGTGGTTTCATATGGTTTGCGCATGCATACAACAGTCGAAGTGCTGATCAAAATGGACGGCGAAGGGCACTTTAACTGAATGAAGTCCATTTTTCTATTGCTTTATAATAACACTATTTTTTAAAATTAAAGGTAGATAATATTTAAATATATTTTTTCTATTCAGGATAGTGCAAAAAACAAATCAATTTACCTTAGTACTGCTCCCTTAAAAGGAAAAGTCAAAGTGATGTGTTGCCAAAGTGGGAAAGTTTTAATGGCAAGTGCAGACAAATTGACAAAGGAACACGGTGAAGACCTAAGCCTTAGTGATATACATGATGGTAACAGTGTCATTTATGACGCTGGTGGAAAAAGTTATGATGTAGTCATAATCTGCAATAATGAAGGTAAAATTTATAGCTAATTAAGTACTATATTAACCATACATATGTGTAATAGCTACAACAGCAGAAACTCCTACTAAAAGTCGACATAACAATAAAAAGATTGTCAAGAATAGAGTCAACACTGCTTTAATAACAGCTGAAAAAGTTAGTATGCATATTCAATGTATATTAAATATGTTTTTACACTTTATGGGCTTTTTAACATTAAAACTGTTAGTGCATCATTTTTGCAGTAGTTTTGATGTCTTTGTACATACAGTTGCTGGCTACCTTAACACATTAAAACAGTCTTGTCATTTTTAGCAGGACTTTGATGTTTATAGATTTAATATTCAAGCTGAATTTTGATTAACATTTAAGATTAATTTGCATTTAGAATAATTATATTTACTTCAGGAAACAGAATGCAATGATGATACTCAGTCACTACTAGATGAGGCTTCACAAGTTATTAAGCTTAGTTCAGAAACGTCTGAAGTTTCAAAAATCAGTAGAGATGAAACTGGGTTGAAGGTCAGTAAGATATGTATATTCAGTTAAATTTGTCTGATAACGTAGGGTTTGCTTATTCAGATGGATAAAAAATTTGACTAAATTGAAAGGATGCTAATGCATAGCAACAAGTATGAGTCAGATGTAGATTTAGAAACTGAAGAAAGATATATTGTTAGTTCAGAAATTAATTTGTCTTTTATTTGTCATTCATAAATAGGTTAATGGAATTGACTGAAGAGCATTGCCTGCAAATAATGCTTATAGCTATGGACGATCTATACTGGATGCTTTGTATACTAAGAAAGTGGTGTACTACTACCAACAAGCAAAAGTCCAAAAACAGCATTAGACAATGATCAAGTACAATTGTTATTTGGTAAGTTTCAATATTGACAAAAATATTACTCTTTAATTGATAAAATTTAGGATGTCTCAACAAACGATTCAAAGACCAGTATATTCTTTCAAACATGAAAAGTACACTTAATCAGAAATACAAAAAAGCAAAGGAAGTGATATTAATTAAAGATGACTAAACGCCAGTATCATGTCAAAATTTGACAAGTTGTTTTACTAACGTGATTACCAATAGATGATTTGTTTTGAATTTTAACTATGAAATAACAATTACAAGAAATTGAAACAAGATCTTGACCAGATCCAGCATAATCTTGTGTAAAGATATTCCAAGATAGTGCATTCAGTCATTCTTGAAAGTGCATGATTTTGGTTGAAGATATGTGACCATAATTGACAAAAGGTACCTTATGGCGGATTTTAAAATTCATCTTTAAAATGAAAAATATCATCCTGTGAGTCCTCTGTTGGACAAACATTGTTTCTAAAAGATACATAGGAACTTTTTACATCCTCTGGAGTAATTTTATGATAAATGAAGCTCAGGAAGTTGGATTTTTTAGGCTAGAAAGTCAAATTTCACTACCCGCCATAAGGTACCTTTTGTCAATTATGGTCACATATTATACAAGATATTAACAAGTTCACACAAGATCATGAAATATTTTTGTTTCAAAATCATGTATAACTTTACATTATCTTAGACCTTGACCAGATTCTTGCCAAACATTATGCATGATCCTGGCACAATTTTTTGTGACGGAAGTACACAATACACACATTACCATCTTTTATATACAATTAGATACTCCTAACACATCAAGTAATACATCTTTGTAACTGTAAAGGACACAATGCCATGCTACTAAGGTAAATTGCACTAATAATAAGCACACAATACACATTAGCATCATTTATAGACAATTAGATTCTCCTAACGCATTAGCAATACAACTGTACAACAGTAAAGGAAACAATGCCATGCTACTAAGGTAAATTGCACTAATAATAAGCACACAATACACATTACCATGTTTTATATACAACTAGATACTCCTAACACATCAAACAATGCATATTTATAACCGTAAAGAACACAATGCTATGCTACTAAGGTTAATTATACTAATAAGAAGTACACAATACACAATACCATCTTTTATATACAATCAGATTCTCCTAACACATCAAGCAATAAAACTGTACAACAGTAAAGGACATAATGCTATGCTGCTAAGGTAAATTTTACTAATCATAAGTACATAAAACACAAAACCACATTTTATATACAATTAGATTCTCCTAACACATCAAGCAATACAACTGTACAACAGTGAAGGACACAATGCTATGCTACTAAGGTAAATTGTAATAATAAGAAGTACACAAGACACATTACTATGTTTTATATACAATTACATATTCCTAACACATCAAGCAATACATCTTTATAATGGTAAAGGTCACAATGCTATGCTACTAAGGTGATTTATACTAATAATAAGTACACAATACACATTACCATCTTTTATATACAATTAGATGCTCCTAACTCATGTAGAAAAATTACTGTACGTTCATGTAGTATCATTATTCTTCAACTTAAATGTAATATAAAAATAACAAGTTAACTAAAAAGAAAGTTACTAAGTGACAGTATTTTGGAGGCAAGAATAATTACATTGTGAATAATGTTAAGTGTACCATAGACTGATGCTAAATCTCACACCCAGCATTCTGTAAATATGTAGTGCTGTTTTTCTTGGACGTCCAGCATAAGTCAGTCATTGGCTTGATGCTGTAAATGTGGGGAACATATTTTCTCCATATTCTTTGAAAGGAACTTTCACTGAGAGCATGTTCTTTACCAGCATCGGCATACCTGTAAACCATGCGTTGGGACACACTGGATGGCAATAGCTTGGCCTTTCCATGATCTCTCACTCCAGGAATCTTCCCAGGTAGTAAAATTGTGTAGTCTTCAGCATAGTTTTCCAAAAATGGAACCGTATCTTTAATGCCTTCCACAGAGAGAGCATAGAATGGAATGCGACCAGTGTTCCCATGAACCCTACATTAACAATTTTAATTACTCTATTTAGGATTATTTTTATTACTTTTACCTAGGTTTCATTCCATTTTGAAGGAAATGCCTCTTTTGAAGAAAGGGGAGGACCCCTTTCTCAAAAAATGCTTTCTAACTTCAGTAATACATGGAGTTTTGGAGAGATATTGGTATTAGTAGATAGGTATCGACTTATATAACATATATATGAAAAAAAAAATTTGACCACAAAAATTATTTTATCAAATGTTTGGCCTTATGTCACTTTCATTTAATTGCAGTTAATGTCGATTTTCTCAGACCGCGTCAACATTTGTTAATTATAGAAGCATGTGCTCCAAAATTTGGGTGTGGACACGCATGCTCAGATCTGCAGCTCTGGAAGAAGCAAGTTATTTGACCTAGATATGCTTGCAATCAACTACGATACTTTATTGTAGGTTTTTAGCTAAGAAAAGGCATTAATCCTACGTGTTACCGTTTTATCAAGTGTGATTATATTTTATTAAAGCACGAACAATTTATGAACATTATGTTATGCAATGTTAATATCAACTTCACAACAGCCTGGAAGAACAGGAATTGTTACAACATTGCAAGATGGACACTCTCAGCTTATAGCTTCTGGAACAAGGACTTGTGTCAAGACTAGTATTAATTTCACTTGTCATTGGTGTAGTTGATATTTGTTCAGCATGTCTATTTAATGCTGTCTCTCATGAATCATGTAAAGTCATAACAGTGATAATAATAATAAAGAAAATTATTGTTTGTGTAAAGTCAACAGGTGTGACAATGGCAACTAATGAAATATTATAAATATTATTATTAAATAGTCAACACAAACAAGGACAATCAACAAGTATCACAGTGGCAATTAAAGAATTGTTATTGTTATTATTATATAAAAATTAACACAAATAAGAACAAAACATAAAAAAAAAACAAGGATAGGGAGGAGTCTGAACGACCAACGAAAATACGTAATGAAGATCCTACTTGTGACGCAAATTTTACTTTACATTGCATAGTCATCCATAATTCTTACATAATAACATTGAAAGTACAATGTTAAGTACAAGTTGTGTGACAAGTAGGATTTCATTTTCTATTTTCGTTGGTATCCTATTGAACCTTTTCTTTATGTTTTTAATTTTAACCTATGCAAAAACTTCAAATTACAATCATACCAACCCAGGCTCACATTAGTGCAATATGTAGTACATGATCAAAAGTCATGTAT